GTGAGGTCACAGGAAGTATGCTGAAGTAGTTTACGGTTACCAGCACTCAGTGGATAGCCCTTTATTTCACCAGACTAATACAAGATATTATGAAAGCAGGTGTCTGACTGTGCTTCTTATTCTCTTTTTCAACAGTTACATCAGTAAAGTGGATGTGCTTAAAATTCTGGTGACAGCCAATTACAAATATGTTCCCTCTCTGGATGACATTTTGGAGACCTCCGCTGTCACACGGCTCCGCAATCAGCTCCTAGAAGCAGAACACTACCAGCTAGCTGTGGAGGTTAGAAGCTGTTCTTTAAATTAAAGTTTAATTTAAAAGAAATGACAAGTTGCAGAGAATTAAATCACAAAGCATTTGTCATCTCTTCTTGTTTGGTTGCTAGGTGTCAACCAAGAGTGGTCTTGACCCTGGTGGTGTGTGGCAGGCATGGGGAATGGCATCTCTGAAGGCAGGAAATCTTTCAGGGGCACGGGAGAAATTTGCTCGCTGCCTGAAGCCCCCAGTGGACCGCAACCAGCTCAACTCGGGTCCCTTATTATTACAGGAGATTGTCCAGCACCTGGAAACCATGGTGCGGCCCTCTCTGGCTATGGTAGGTAGCTACTTTCATGGTGGCACTAGCCTCCAGCCCACAACATATTAAAAACGGAAGAAATGGGCAGATGTGTAACATGCTTCCCGTCTGCAAATAGAGCAGGTCATCGCACAACACTTCCTTCTCAAAGTTTGATATATAACCATATTAACATTTTTAACACAAGTGCATTGCTTTGCATGCATCTAAAAGGTCAAACTGTACACGAATGCAAATGCTGAAGTACAAGAAAAAATGTGTGCTGGCATTTTGTGAAGCTGTCATGGTTAAAAAATATATACATACTGTATGTATACAGTAGCAGCTACATTCTTGCAATCAGTATTGCACACAAAGATAAACACTACTATGTGTGCCTGCCTGTTAAATGAATTTGAAAGGATCACTATCACACACACAAATGTATTAGGATACACCAAATGCCTGTCTGACGTAGCAATAGAATAATTGAAAACATAAAAAAATATATAGCCATAAACATTTTCTGATAATTTCCATTTTTTTCACTTTTTAAAATAATGCAATAAACTATAATTTTACCAACATGTATTTTTAAGAGCATACAGCAGTGTCAGGCAGAGTTTATCCTCAGACAGAAAGACTAGACTAGCTGTGCTACCTAACACCTTAGGCCTCTAGCACATTTCTTGCATGCTAGACGAACCTAGTAAGTTCTGGCATGCGAAGCACTACACGTGTCGGATTCTAGTGCATGTTAGCAGTAGAATTCAACACTACACGTGTTGGGATTCTACTGCATCTAGAATCCAGACTAAAAGAAAGTAAAGACAGACCTATGTTAATGTTGAGTAATCCTAAGAAACTGTTTTCTCAATTCAGGAACACCTTTCCTTTTCAAGCAAAAACACAACAAAAATCTTTGTTAAATCAGGACAAACTACAAATACACAGAAGTTTTTTATTTTATTTTTGTACCTGCTTTTATACACAATAAATGCATAAACCTTTGTGTTGTTGTTTGTATTCTTCTATATATCAGTCTTATGGTGAAGACATATTGGCATCCCTGCGGGAGCTAGAGAACTCTCTGTGTGAAGTCAATCCTGTGGAGCGACCGGAGGGGCTGATGCAGAACAGTGTTCTCCACCAGGAATGTCTCTACTACCTGAATACATACGGCACTCACCTGGGACTGATCAGCTTCTATATGCGTCATGATTATGTAACAGAGGCTCTGGCATACCTTCTTAAAAGGGTGAGGCCTAAATTATTAAAGGTGTCCATATCCTTTGCATGTTTGGATCAATATTAAACTATTTTTACTTTCATTTAACTGGAGAAGTCAAAGGAGTGAACAGCACATGGTACAAGCCAAAAACAGAAATCTCAGTCCTCTTTTGTGATGCAGCTTGTGTGGTGTCAGGAGATTATCTAACTCACCTTCGGGTATTCTTTGATACCCATCTGTTGCCAAGATCTCAGATCCTGCGGGATGTCAGGTTACCTATAATGTGTGGGCAATGAGGTCTATGTGACACTGATTTATTAGCGATGGTTCGTTTTCAATTTGGCCTACAGTCAACAAAGTACATTGAGTAATAGTATTTTGTATCATAAAACTGTTTCTTGTGTAAGCAGCATCACATGTAGTACATGGCTTCACTTGCCTGAAATTATTGCTGGATGTGTCATTGCATCAGTTGTATCCAAGTTTGTCATTTTTTTTGCTGTATTGTGGATCAGGAGTGTCCAGAGGAAGTATTTCTAGAGGGTGTGTTGCAGCCCAGTCTGGAACGGGGCCATCTGAGCAAGCTCCAGGGAATACTGCAAAAGCAGGACCCCAGCCTGGAGACATGCAGCCGGTACCTCATTGCTTCCTGCCAGTTTCTTCAGCGACGGGGACACTATCACTCTCTCTACCAGTTTCAGCAGTTCATGACGGTTTGAGGACTTTTTTCTTCATGCTCACTTTTAGGATTTCTTACAAACTACTAAAATAATAATTAGACTGAAATGATAGGTGGATGGTCTGAGACTTGACTAACTTATTATTCCAAGCGGGGGGAAAAAACCTTTACATTCCCACATGAATGAATGGACCTGCACTTCCAGTAGCAGTTTACGTGCCCATCTCTCTTTCGGCTTAATCAGGACCCTGATGAAGGTCACAAGCCAAAATGCGTTGGTCAGTCAATAAAGGAACAGTTTTATTGATTTACCATTGCATTTCGGCTTGTGACCTTCATCATGGTCATGACCTTGATGAAGGCCACAAGCCGAAACACATTTTATTCTTTAGGATTGCAAATTGAGGTCCTCATGATGGTGGGGAAGCTTTAAAATTGTGTTTGTCTGGACAGGATCACGTGCGTGCAGCCATGACCTGTATTCGATTCTTCACACATCGAGCCAGTTCATACCTACAGCTGGGAGAAAAACAGGTATCTGTTATGCAATAAGAAAATATTTTTTTAAAAATAGTTTCCTCTTCTTACACGGGAAAGATGAACTTGAACTTTATTTTGCACAGCGTTGGTTGGTCAGAGCCAAAGAGCACCTAAGGACGTACTTGCAGGAGCAGCAAGGTCGGGGTTCTGGGAGGAGACGGTCACACCCCAACTCTTTCAGGAAGATGATGTCATCCAGTGATGTGTCCAGGTTATTTAAGAGCTTTATGACAATTAATGAAATAGAAATCTACTTTTGACTACCAATCATTTGGAAAAAAAACTCTGAAAACTTTATTTAAAATGCCTCATTATTACTGTGTTTACTTCAAGCTTTTGATCTTCGCCTCTTTTTTTTCTTTTAGGCACATGAATACGATTGAGCTCCAGCTGGAGGTAACCCGTTTTCTCCATCGCTGTGAGAATGCAGCATCCTCCAAGGCCCCGCAGACCAATCCCTCTGCACCCAGTTCACTGCCTACGCTCTTTGGAGGAAGCCCTATGAAAGTAGAAGTTGCCTGCAAGGTTAGGCTGCGGGGTTTTTTGGAATTGTATAAAGTGATAATCTTCTGATATCGATAATCGAAAAAACACAATTTAGCATATTTAAGTTACTCATTAAGCACTATATATTTAATTTTAAAAAAAAATGTGTACAACAGTTGCCGCAGGGCGCTTAATGTGTGTGTATGAATATGTATGTAGCTAAAAATAATACAAAATATTTTGTTAGAACTGGTTTTGTATGTTATGTATTTGTACATTGTTGTTACATAAAATCAGGACCGTGTTTTATGATTTGTTTTTGCAGGTGATGCTTGGAGGAAAAAACATAGAAGAAGGATTCGGCATTGCTTACAGAGTCATACAGGTATTTTCATGTCTGAGATCAGAACTGCTTTTAGCCAAAATTCAAGACTGCAAACAAAGCAGTTTTTTTGTGTGCAGAAGTCTTTGAAATATTTTGCCAACATAAGTATTGGAAGTAAGCACCAGTCGAGCTGAGATAGCACAATAATTAATTTAATTATCTTGGTGTAGACAGCCAAAAATGATGGAAGTGAGATTTCCAGTGTAACTTACAAAATAAAGTACAGCAGCAGCAAAAACTGAGCAAAATGAAGAATTAAATTACTGATGTGATCTTTTTCTCAGTTTGTCAAGAGATTTATTCTAAATGACACTTCTTCAGCTGAGAGTCTAAGAGTGAAGACACACACAGACGCTGCACTTTTAACTTGCAAGGGCGTTTCACAGAGCGCTCACATCAGAGAGTGGGGCCCTGTGATCAGCGCTCTGTTCTTGCACTTGTCTTTTATTTATACAGAAGGAAAATGAAAACATTTGTTCAGTGGAATGTTGATACGTGAGCATATGTGTATGTGATTGTGTGTGTGCGAGGTCAGAACTGCTTGTTCAACTTCTTACTATCGCTGTGGGAGGATTCAGATAGTAATATCAGAACACGTTTTATAAAGAACAATCAGTTCTGAACAATGAAAAGGACAATCAGTTCTAAGCAGGGAAAAGGTCATCATGCAGTATTCTATCACATGTAAACTTATATCATTAAAAGCTTATACTGACTACTAAGTACAATTTTCCCTTAACACAGTTAAAAGTTGAAAATATAGATGTTGTCTCCCTCTCCTTCAGGACTTCCAGTTGGAGGCTCAGGCTGTTTATGTGCGAGCTGGACAGTGGCTCATCCGACGCAAGCAGTACGCGTCCGTGCGGCAGCTGCTCAAATGTGTGGGCGAATCAGGCACTGCCACTAAAAACGACTGTGACGCCCTCATCCTCAACTACATCTCCTGTGCAGAGAAAGGACCAGCTGATGTGAGTGACAGAATTGCTATGGAGATGCATGTGATAGGGATATTCATTATACTAACTATACTTCAGGCACAGTGTTGTACGCTCATCCTAAAGACTATTCTCTTTAATATGGTTTAGGCCAAGGAGCTGGAAAGTCTCATTCTGGAGATAAAAAGCACAGAAAGCAAGGTAGAGTAATAATTGCCTTGTTTTACCCTTCTTTGCCTTCCACTGGGATTACTTTTCTTGCCAGAGGCTGCTTAAAAAAAAAAAAAAAACTACCCTCACTGTATTCCTCTGTATTTCCTTACAATCGATATTACTTTATTTTTTCCTCTGATGCCTGTCGTTATTTGGCTTTTTTTCCTCCTTTATTAGCATCTTTGGACGTTGGTGAGTATAATTTTATGGGAAGCGGCCTTCTAATTTCATCGCTGGTTTTTCGTCAGATCAAAGCCTTCCTGATGTGCAGTAAGCTAAGGCCGGCGTACCTGCTGGCAGTGAAGCTGGAGACAAGCCAGGCAGGCCCGTTGGTCCAGGATGTCCTTCAGGCCGCTGAAGAAGCACAGGACTCAGTAATGCAGAATATCTGCCGCCAGTGGCTGGCTGAACACAACAAGTCATCTCAACCGCGTCAGGGGCGCACCAGGTAAAGGTACAGTGGGCATAACAAGGGATTGCACAGAGAGCACACAGATAAGCCCCCATTAAGGACAAATGAGAGCATTCAACTTTTTGGGAAGGTGAAAGATTAACTTATGTAACTGATATACAGAGCTTATCACATTTGCCATTTTACTAAAGAGTCCTCTTATTAGATTTTTGGCTCCAGATTTGCCCTGCTAACACTTCAGCATACACTTTTAGATGATGCATTGCATTTTGTGTAAATGTACCAGTACTTCACACTAAAAATTTAGTTGGACATTATTTATATTATCAATTAATTAATATTGTACTAGACCCTTACTATCACTCTAATGTGTGTTGCTATTGAGTTGGCATGGGACAGTGGAGTCTCAATGTGGAGGAAATGCGAGTTAAACCTGGAACAGATCTGAAAAATGTGTAAGAACTGGGTTCTTTTAAAACCCTGATATCAGCTTCACTCTTTGGTTGAGTGACCTTTATGCCACTGCAAAACAAACGGATCACCACTGTGCTTTATTGCCATTCTGGAAATATTTTTGCTGGCTTTTTTTGTTCATCTGCACAGTATTTGTGAGGGAAAAAAGTTACTGCATTTGAGCGCAACCGGTGTTACACAACAGAACTGCTAACTGTTGCTAATAGGTACAGTTACACCCTTGAAATATAAACGTATTCATGGTAAATCTGTATATGTTTAATATTTGTTTCCTACCTCAGCCTAAAGGGAAAATATATTGACTAGAAGGCCACTGACAAATTTATTACCTGTAGGTATCTGTGTGTAGGTGAGCTTTTTACTTATAATGAGGTGTCGTCTGCCAAGAAGTTAAATGTTTCAAAACTGTCTTGTTTTTGTAACCATAAGGAAGATGTTTACGTGTTGTACATGTGAAGCACATTTTGTGGCCAGCTTTCAGTGCAAGTTTCTTTTTGATTAAAAAATAATAATAATAATAATGATAACATTGAAATATTGGAGGGCATTTTGTTTGCTTTGTTTCCAAGAATTCAGGTCTCTTGTTCGTTAATTTGTGTTTTGGTAATAATTATCCCGAGGGCGGCAGATTGTAAATTATGCTTTTTGCTTCGTTCTCACGGTAGATGTGAACGATAGATGTCTCAACAATTTAAATTCCTAAAGACTGACATATACAGATGAGTTGAACAATGTTTGAAAAAGGGATTGTACTGTTGCCAGATATTTTCTTTTGATATGTATTTTTCCCCTTTTGATTTCACAAATCTGCAACCTGGAGAAAGAAAAAGAGCAACTGTGATGTTCTTATAGCACCACAAACGCAATTTTTGGATAATGTGACAATCACCCAAATTGCTCAAGCTGCCTTTCATGTGTTCTTTGAAACTGTTCTGATTACATGGTGATGTGGTGAAGTGTGTCTTCATTTAGATCTGACACTGTGGTGTCTGTTTGCCTTGCTTCGCTCTGCTGCACTAGTCAGAAGACTAAAACCAGTTTCCTGTTATTGTGAGTGTGTCAAGACAATTTAGACTTGAGAGCCACTCTCATTCTCCCTGATTCTGACTGTTGTCTCATCACTGCCGCACTTTATAAATAATAATATCAAATATTTTGAAAAATTTGAAGGTATATAATATGGTAACTGCTTTAATGAATCAGGGACTAATGGTTCAAAAATATAAGTTGTTTTGCCATCCCTTATTAAATAAAATAAAATATGTAACACTGGACTGTACTGCTGTGCCTTTTTCTATTTTCATCATTTTAGAGTTTGGGTTATTCACTGAACAATCAATCTATTATTAAAGAAGAAGATTGTGAGATAAATAAATAATGAAAGCCACTGTTGGTTTTAGCCTTACTGGAATTATGCACTGTTTCCTGAGGCAAAAAGCAAAATGTGTTAAAAATCATGTAAAAACAAACATTTAACAAATATATTTAATAGATGATTTAGAACAACATCCAGTAATTTAAATGTAAAAGTTTTCCATTATTAGGATATGTAAATATAGAAAAAACAAAGCAACTCTGACTCAAAATACAAAAAACTAGCGCCTTATGTAAGAAAATGGAGGAGATCATATGCTGTAGCTTTTTTAGTGTCCCATGGTTTGGTGCTTCCTTTGTTGTATTTGTTTATTGACAGGGTTTGGCTGCAGGCATGCCAGTTTGCCACCCACGCTGACAACATATTTCTTAAATAAAATTGTGAGATAAGTCACAATTCGCTTAAATTCTAGTGATATTATGTCCAATATATGATAAAATCGCTGTTTATTTATTTATAGTTTAATACTGAGAAACTTTATTCTAAATTTGTTAAACTGTGGTAAAAGTCTAAGGCTCTTAGATCCTCTAAACACAGTCGTGTTATGACATGTTGCAACAAATCACTTATGGGATGTTTTTAAATGGTGTTTTTGTTTGAGCGTTACACAACTTTTCCACTATCTTTAATTTATTTTTTTTATGTTATGCTGACATCAAATTAAAAATGAGCATGCCTATTTTAAAAAAAGAACGAGCAATTCTGTTTCAAAACTGGATGTGTTGCCTTTGCCGTTATTTTTAAATAGCTTTAAGATTTTGATGATTTGAATGTACTGACATGGGGAATGGAGTTTTGCAAAATTTCTGACCTTTGAGCCCCCCGGATAGTTGCCTTGTTAAAAAAAGCTGCCACATTTTCATTAAGTCCTGTAATATTTTCCCTTTTAGTTTATTTCTTAACAGTAACAGTGTGATGAAACCTGACTCGCATGTGCTGTGTAAATCATCTTTGTCCACCTAATCTTAGGTACTCGTGCATTTCATTCTCTCAATTTTGGATCTAAAAGAGTTCAAGGAAGTGGCAAAGTTGAAGATTTTCATTGCGAGTGACCAGGAGACGCAGGATTAAAAATAAAAGACAAAGCTGGAGAGGCAAGGCTGCGGAGATTGGACAACAAATGTTGAACTTGGGCCTCCCAGTTTGGAAGAAAACCACAGAGATGGTTTCTGGATGGAAGGAAGAGAAGCTTGGTGCGACAGATGAGGAATGCTAGGGACAGGGTGAGAGGGAGGCAGGTGACCCCTAAAGGGAGCAGCCTAAAGAAGATGACAAAAGTTTTAGTAATATTTCAGTTTTATTTACATAAAATGTAAACATTCAACTGGTAACATGAAAAGTAAAAGGCATGTTTTGACTTGTATAAAACACAGAATGTAAACTCCTGGCAAACCTGCATGTGAATGCTGCAAAGGAAACATGATTAAAGAGATCCTTATAAATTTCAAACTAGTTCTTACAGGAATGTGCAGATCGCACTGAGTAGGGGGTAAAACAAACAAACAAAACAAAAACAATCTTTGGAAATATGAATGTAATCTCAACTATTCATTGTCTATAATAGAAAAAAAATCTTATCTTGTACATCGACTATTAGAGTTATGACAAAATACATTTATGCTATTTAAGCAGTGATTTTGGCTCAGACTGTCGCGCATGTTTAATACTTTAATAAATTTTAATCAACCTGGAAACACTGTAAGAACCCCTGCAGTTGTTAAGAAATGCTGGCACTAAAGTCAAGCAATTTAACTGCGAATTCAGGAAAAATCATTTGGAAAAAACATAATACTTGATAAAGATGCTGGTCTTTTACCCTGTGTTGACTCCTCACTGTATCCTACAGCATTACAACACATCAAGTTGCTTTTTTGCCTACACTATTCACATTGTGTCACAAAAAATATAAAGTCGAAAAGGTATTTGTGTTTACATGATAATATGGTTGAGTGGTTTTGGTTTGAGAAGCTGTTGCAGAGCACCAAAATACTCAAGTTATTATAATGTAATTAATATATTATTACACAAAAAAGCAACTTCACATTGTAGTACCTCTTACTTAAATTACCTGACTGCTTATTAGGTAGGAAAGTACAGAACATCAAAACAATAATGGAATTAATTAAATCAATGAAAAACTTTAATGTTAAGGACTCCTTGGAGAGCTGAGATAGATGGCGGTCGAAAGCCTAATTAGTCCCACTCGATTCCAAGAAGCTCGCAGCTGACGTCCCACAGTCTCCTCGCCGTCTCCGCACTTCTTCCCTGTGGGGCCACAAAGGCAGGGGTGCAATCACTGAAATGAAAGGAGGAGGAGTGGTTATTACATAAGAACTTATGATGCTGTGAGTCATCACCCTGGATACAAGGATCTCTTTTAGTTTGTGTAATCGTATAAGCATTATATATTTTTTTCCCCAAAAAACCTTTTTTTTAAGTCATAAGAAGTATCAGTTACTCAGATCCAAACATTGGATCCAGTGCTCGGTCTCCTTACAAAGACACCGAACATCTTTATGTGCAAAGTTGTAAAAATAAAAGCAAAGAAGCACAACCAACGCAATGGTGCCTTACAGCAAGAAGGTAGTGGGTTCAAATCCACCAGACTGGGGCCTTCAGGGTTCAGTTAGGCTAACTGGTGATTCTAAATTGCCTGTAGGTATGAATGTGAGTGGTTGTCTGGCTTTCTGTGTTAGCCCTGCAACAGCCTGGCAGGGGTATACCCCGACTCTTGCTGTATGACAGCCGGAATAGGCCCCCAACCCTGAATCGGGTAAGTGCAAGAGAAAGGAGGACTGGAAAGAAACATAAAAAAAAACAAAACACAACTACACCCACTAAAACTGAAACTGTGCTGCTTCTACTTTTTCTGGATTTGATTTGACAGGTTAGTTTCTCCATGTGCTGAAATTCTGTGTGACTTGTGAATTTTTTTTCTTCAGGTGTCATCAGGTAGTGGACATTAGTGGTTAAGATTGCAAAGTCTCTACTACAAAAACAAATATTAAATCGGTACATGTGTCCTTATTTTTGATCAAAATTCAAAAAGTAAAAAAAAGAAAAAGAAGTCAAGCTGTAAAGGGGAAAAAAAGAAAACCTTTAGGTTCACTAGAGTTTTGGCATTAGTTTACATAAAAAACATTCAGCTGCTCATCAATGTTATAACTATAGCCGAAAACAATCTGACAAAACTAATAGCAGACAAGCATTTGTACTTGCAAAGCACGCTGGCAAAACTAACAGATGAATCAAGTAATTTCTGGAATGTTCTTATAGAGGTAACGCCCTCCATCAGATGTTTTGTGTGGCTGCTAAAAGTGAAACTGTGAATATTACATTCTGGAGAATTGTTTAAGTTCACTGTTATTTCATCTTCATTTCATTCCACAGCACCCGAGTTGGTTTAAGGTACTTGGTTTGACTTGACCATTTCTTCCCTTTTTAGCGTCCATGTATTGTTCTTTTATTTGCATGTTTGTTTTGTGTGTCAGACGTCTTCTAAACTTCCCATCATAGACTACCCATCATAGACTACCCTGTAAAATTTGTTACAGTTTTGTAAAAATTGTTGCAAGATGTACAGGTTTCAAACCATTCTGCCATGTTAACCAGTTTAACAGCGCAGACAAGGTTCTGGTGTTGCTGCCTTTTTTACTCCGAACTTAACATTTTTGCATTTCTACATATTTTTTCTAAGGCGGACTTATGAAAACTTGAGTATCAGCTAATTTGTTAGGTACAGCTGTCCAATCACATAGCAACAACTCAATGCATTTAAAGATGCAGACATGAAATAAATTTTAAACTGAACATCAGAATGAGGAAGAAAGGTGATTTAAGTCACTCTGAAAGTTTCTGGTTGATATTTCAGAAACCACTGGTGTCTACTGGGATTTTCCATCTCTGTAGTTTAAAGAAAATGGTCCAAAAACTAAAGAATATCCAGTGAGAAGCGGTTCACCGAGTGAAAGTGTCACAAACTAAGCTCAGAGGAGAACTGCCAAATTGCTCTGAGCTGATAGGAAGACAACAGTAACTCAAATTACACTTATTACACCCAAGGTATGCAGAAGAGCACCTCTGAGCACAGCACATGCTGAACCTACAGCAGCAGAATACCATACCTGATACCACGGCTATCAGCTAAGAACAGGGAACTGAGACTACAGTTTACGCAGGCTAACCAAAATTGGACAATAGAAGATTGTTCCAATCGAATCTTGATTTCTGACGTGAGATTCAAATGGTAGAAACAATATCTGGTATAAACAACATAAGACTATGGCTCCATTCTGCCTTATACTAACCAATAATGTGGTGCGGGGAATATTTTCTTGGCAGATTTTGGACTTCTTAGTACCAGCTGAGAGTTTAAATATCAAAGCCTACCTGAGTACTGCGGACCATGTCCATCCCTTTATGACTGACAGTATGTTCACTGCACTCTCATGTGAATATGGACCAAATGTTTCCAGCACCTTATTGAATCTATGCCATGAAAAATAAAGGCAGGTCTGAAGGCAAAAGGGGCTCCAACCTGGTATTACACACTGTCATCTTGGTGTATGCAGACCACCACACTAAGGATAAGTAGCAAAGGTCCTAAATATCCTCCACTTGCACACAGTGTTGGGTTTAAGTCAACCCTGCTGGTAAACAGAACCTGTTACTGAAACCACACAGACACCAGTGTACATTTTACTTGCAAGAGGAGCGTTGGAGAGCAGTGCTGCGACTCGCCTGTCCAAACAACTCCAACTGATTCCTTCGCTACAGCCCTTTTTATTGTCAGCAAGCAATCGTTCATGGATATGCAATTACAAATACACGTGGCGTTCTTAAGCAGGCATCTCTGAACAACATCAGTATCTGTATTCTGTGTGTGTGGGTGTGTGTAGG